GGTCGCTTATCGGTTACCTTTGCCACGGTTGTTACGGGTACATCCGGTCTTTCACTAGTCTCTATTGGTCCCAGAGCAACCGGCATGTCCACTCCGACGATCAGAACATCCCCTACCAGAACAACATGACGAAGACAGCGCTCCCAAGTATGAGATCACCAATATTCGAGACTCCCATTGGCTGAAAGGGCGATTTCAATATTTGATTGAGTGGAAGGGCTATGGACCGGAGGAGTTCATCTGGAAGGATGCGACCACTGTCCATGCTCCTGCCTTGGTGACAGCGTTCCACGAACAGTTCCCTTCACGACCGTATCCGGCCCAGCAGACCCGGGGGAAGGGTCCTGCGGTGCAGAATAGTGTTGTGATTCCTTGCCAGCCAGTGGATCCGGCAGCTGAGTCTGAGGAATCAGATGAGAAGGAGGGCCGTGGAGTGACATTAGAGTCAGAGGAAGGCTCTGAGTAGCTCCAAGACTTAGAGTTGGATGAGGAGCCTGGCCCCTCTATTTGCACTCAGGCTGAGACACAGCTGTGCTGGAAGCCTGAGTTGGACAGTGATGAAGAACAGTTGGGACAAATCCAGGATGCACGAAAGCGCAGGCAAGAAAAGCGAAGGTGTGGGAGGTGCTGGTTGCTGAAGGCAACCGTTCATGTTGAGGATCAAGTTTCTGTGGACTGTGTTTGTTTGCCTTGGACATTGACTCAGGTCTGTGAGAATAAAAGGGGTTGGTTTTTTCTTGCGGTTCCTGCCTGTTTCTTGGAAGAGGGGTTTCTCCTTGTGAGCATAACAAGGACTCGTAGGCTGGGACAGAACAACTAACAACAGATAAGAATATACCATAGAACTAAAGAAATCAGAAAATAATCCACATATTAGGATCCCAGAGACCTGAATGCATCCTTTGGGAACGTTTCTAAAGTTCCCTGCAGTAAAGCAGAATAGTTGTCCAACAGCCTCTAAACCTGCAGTAAAAACAGGTCAAGCCTCTTAAAATAGTTGTTCCAAATAGTTATAAATTTGTCTAATAAATAATAAATATAACATCAGATAATGATATATCCAACCTGCTCAATCCTAGTTGTACATGGAGCTTTTGAATGGTCTTTCAAGAGTTTTGATAAAAATCAGGATACAACCCACTACATTTGTTTGTTTGTTTGTGTTTGTAATTAGACTTGTATGCTACTCATCTCACCTAGAGGTGATTGTTACTTGTTTTTGTGATCTTGGCAACTACTGCACTTTTTCTCTTGTTTGCTTATTAAGAATAACTCCCAATTTCAAGCTGACTCAACTTCTTTGTTCGTCAGGGATAAATTTCCATCCACATCTTAACTCCATAAGCTTTAGAACTTGGAGGCTTCAGTTCTCTGATATCTCCAGGTCAAGTCAGAGCAGGTCTTTTTAAGATAGTTCCTCTCTTTCAAAATCAAACCTTGATTGAATTAAAACATCCTACATTCTATCTTTTTTCCTAAGCTGCTGTCAGATCCAAGGAACCAAGAGGAGTTACTTCTGAGTAGTTGCTTTGTTGCTTGCCTACAGACAGAAATCTTGCCGGACTAAAGCAGTTACCTGCCTAATACTAGATATACCCTGCAAAGTGTTAGAGGGTGTCCACCTTCCCTCTTTTTCTGCTTACCAAAAATTTCAAGTTTCTTTGTCTCTTTGCTTGCTAGGAAAGAGCCGTCCCCTCCTCTCCCCCCCCCCCCAGCTCTGGCCCACATTCCACCACACCTGCCAGCACTATGAAACATCATTTTATTCTTCAAATGCTGTTGCGCTCTCACTTTTATACACGAACTGATGGCACCATTTCTCCATGATCACCGATTACAGTTCGTCAAAAAGATACGGTCTTTCCTCCCAGCATCACTTTAGATAGCTATTTGCAGTCCTTAAGCTTTGCTGTGAGATGGCCAAACTGCCATTCCCTTTTCTGATTCACGCTCTCTCTACAAACGCAACAGCATCTGCATGACGACTTTATGGGCTAAGCTGTCTACTTTCATCCTGCACTTTTATCTCCATTCCCAGAGAGTTGCAGCCTTTGGAAAGGCCGTATTCGGTTTGGGTCAGCATAACTCACCTATTTATGTGAATCCCAGAGAACACAACAAAGACCTGGTTAATTATGTGTAGCTTCACTTCTTTGGTTGTCTGTAAATTCATACAATCTGCAGTTCATGACTGTTCTTTTGGATCTACCTTGCCAGTCAGAAATTAAATTAAATTAAATTGTGTGGTAGACATGGGTATGGAACTTCTGCTAAACAACAGTTGTGGAAGATTCCAGATAGGGCTTTATTTAACTGGTGCATAACCAGCCTGTGTGAATTCACAGATAGCCATTTGTTGAAGAACTACAACTGGATGAGTAACTAGCATCGTCAGCAGGGAGGAAACTTTGCTCAGGGTTTGGTTTTCATGCTCTGATTAGCAAAGCAGATGTAACAGAGCAAATTGTAGTTATCCTTTGAATTAGGAAAATAGTGGTAGCTACGTAAGAGGCAAGAAGTGTTTGAAATAGCCAGTGCTCTGATTCCCAAACCTGGATTTTGTATTGGGCAGTTTTACATGGTCTCTGTTGTATCATCAAATATTTCATATTGGGTATAGATGAATCCTGATAGCAAATAGAACCCCGAACACCTGGTCATCCGTGTGTCTATCTACCCACCGGACTACTATTTAATTCTTTCAGATGTTTTTCTCTTTGCATTTTCATACGTATTTATTCCTGCCAATTTCTTTGCAGCTATAATGTTTCTGTAGACTGTGGCTACATTCCCAGTATATTGGCAACCGTCACAGTGAAAAGGATTTTAGAAATTCTCAAAAATACGAAACTTTTCCCCCCACAGTAGCAGTACCACATTGCTGTGTGTCTGAAATCTCATCTACCCAGAGAATGGAATGGTGCACCTGCCTGGACTTTATTCCTAGCTCTCTGGTTTAAAGAGGAATAGCACATTCCTGTTGCTTTGATCTTCAATCCACACATGGAAAGCAAAGTCTTTCTAAACACTTCGATAGAATTGATTTGACTAGGATTAACGAACGTCCTCTTACATGCTGCACCTCCAGAATCAGTGACTTTCCAAAATATTTGGATCACTTCAACTATTGCCCACCTGACCAGTGTGAAGTGCTATAAACAGGAATTTTAATTAATTAAAAATTAAATAATTGGGGCCTGGAGGACCCATACAATGTATGTGATACTAATCAGTTTAAATGTTGGGGTGAGGGGAATCAAATCAAATGAGGTTTCCCAAATTCAGATTTATTTATTTTGTTACTTTAAGAGTATAACGC